AATTTCGCCGAAATTGTTGCGGAGCGCTTGAAATAAGTCGTCCGGCGATGTAATGTCGTGTCCATCAATCATTTTCCAACTTGTTTAATAATTTTTTTTTAAATAACTAAGCGAATAAATGTTTTTCTTAGATCTTCTGGGATTTCATCTAAAACCGTTTTTGTTTCGAAATTGAATGTCTCTACTGAGATATTATTGCCTTCAAATTCCGTTATTAATTGAAGATGTGATTTTAAATTCTTCATAGCAAATGATATTGTATTATCTTCTCTCTCTGATGTGGAATCATCGTTTCCCGCTAACGGGTTAAAATTCTCGTTTCGCGTCGCATGTCTACCGAGTGACGCGCATATATCTTCCATTCTTATGGTCAATGTTTCTATCTGTTCTTGTAAAGCCGCAATACGACTTGTTAGAGTTTCGAGAATTTGACGGTCCGCCATTGCATTAGAAAATTGTTGTTTACGATCTGGTTCTTTAATGTCTTCCACGGAATCAAGAGAAATAGAGTCGTCAGAAAGTATAATTTCTTTTACTTGTCTGTATTCTGTGAATTATCGGCGGTTTATAAGTAAATAGTTTCTTTTGATTTTGTGTTACTTACAGTAACGTTATTATCTTCATTTTCTGGTGCACTCGGCTTCCGTACTGGCTTGAGATCCTTTCTGCTGCCACCAAAATTTCTTGTTATGTCATGAGGATGTTATAAAATAATCTTCAACATTTTTAATAATACTAAAATAGCAAAAGCAAACTAATATTTTATTGTATCTCGGTTTCGTTAACAATGGCACAATCTTATTCTATTTTCCTTTCTATGAGTGGACGATGCTCACTCGGAGCCTACAGTTCGACGACTGACTCTTTGTTGCGTCTAAATAATGAAAGCTTCTACGCCTTAGTACAATCTTTGCTGACAAAGGGCTACTTATCGTGTGGTACTAAGAATGCTAACCTAGTAAATAATTAAGTAACGCTTAGGCCCATAACAACATATATCAAATCCTGTGACTTTCAAGCATGATTATATGGAACATGTAGAAGTATCTCATTTACAGAAGAATCAAGTTCTGAATATAGATGAGATAGATTTGTATAATATTTGCAGATACTTCATACTTCAAACGAGTATACTGTGACGTATACCGTTCATCGGCGTCGCCTACAAATAATCCGTGGCTGCTCCCAACGTGCTGTAATCGAAGAAAAGATCCGAAGATCTAATTGTTGGGCGCCAGGTGCGGCTTTCCCGCACCAGCATCCCTCACCACGGCCGTTTTCAGATTTTCCGGCGGCTCAACCTCAGCGCACTGAAAATGGTAGAGGGGAACATGGGGGCGACGAGAGAGAATTTCAGAGTCAACGGATAGGCGCGTAAAATGATAAGATAGCGAATAGGATACCGTTCCGTTTATTATCTTTAAATAAACGGCGGATTTTACAATACAAATCCCGTCGCGTACAGTGTGTTCTCCAACGGCAGCCCACGACTATTCCGAGTCATGATTTCTAGCTTGCCCCGACCTGTCTCTATCTCGGTGTATCTACCGAACCCGCGAATCCCCTCGCGGCGCGATTCGCGATCCTGACAGGTCTCGTTGGAGACGAGCCTTTCCTTCCTCGGGAGTGCACCCTCTGACGTCGATAGCCACTTGAGGCATCCGCGTATCCGCACCACTGTCGCTCGGCTATCTTCTCGCGTAAGATATTTTTTAAATAAGACCGCCCTCGCGATACTTACCGAGAACTGATTGTCCCATCAGTCCCGTACCAAATCCAAATCGTGGTGGCCGTGTCCCTTTCGCTTATCCCCGTGGTGCCGCATCCCGGCTCCACGAGGGTGTCCATCAAACACTCGGAATTTCACACACTCGGCCACGCACTGGCACTAGACCATACAAAAAAACCCGGGAGTACCTCCCCTCACCCGAGTACCTCGAGTGAAACTTGCAAAATTTAGGCGTTTTTTCAAATAAAAAATTTAACCCCTTAGCAAACTCATTTTCGAATGTTTAAAAGCGCGTTTTAATCGTTGAAAGTTCATCTACAACGTGGAATAAATATGAAACTAATATTTCATTGCATTCCTAATAAAAAATGGTGGGAAGCTTCGGGTGCGCTTGCGATATCACGAGATCTCAATCACGGGATCAAGTCGGAGAACAATAATTTTGTGAGAATCTGCAATATCATTAAAAACGATATCACGCACAAAGTGGACTAGATTGGCCGGAGCGTTCGGAAGTTAAGGCCAATTAAATATTTCAATTCAAGGGGGGGGGGGGGTATAGCTCCCGCTAGAATGATGCTACAGGGGTTCAATGGGGGTGTTTTTTTAATGCCGAAGGATGTTCTCTCTCGTGACGTAATTAGAAATATGAATTTCCTTCCGGAACTACTAGTTCTCCGGAACTACTAGAGTCGATTGCTAATAAAAGTTTACACCATGTTTAATCTTGGTGAGAATCTTAAAGTAGGAAGCCTTTTTATTATTCCCGTGATAAAACTAACTTCGGAGTAGTGCTGTTTTACGGTTTTGTATTTTACGAGGATAAAATATACTAAAAATAATATTATTTTTGATTACAGGAATTATGTGCGCAGAATAGACTGGATGAACCATATTATGAAATTACTAATATTAGTGGGCCCTCGCATGCTCCGGTATTTACAATCACGTGTACAATACAGATGTTTCAAGAAGAAGCCTGCGCAAGAAGTAAAAAGCAAGCAAAACAGAACGTAGCACAAAAAATGTTAAAACATTTAAAAGATAACGTAAACATAAATCTCCCAGGAATGGAATTAATAAGTGCACGTGCGAATGATAAAGACGTAGACGATTTAAGCAAAGGTATAGAATACCTGAATTTATCAGTCACAAATTTAAAGGAGTCGAGAAAAGAACAAACGGATTTAGCAATGGCTCGATACCCAGATTTAATGAAACGTCCAGGCATTGTCAGTTGCAAGACTCATGATATTCCAATTTCAATGTATCATCTGTGTTTCAAGGTTGGATACTTAAATCTTGTTGAGACTTTAACATGTTTGTTAAGTCGACAAAAAAGCGATAACATGACTTACGATGAACTGCGAGTATATTTAACCCGAAGTGCTGATATTTTGAAGTGTGAAATTAAGGAAATCAATTATAAATTGAAAACACCAAATCTTTATATGATTGGCATACAATTAAGTTTCACTCCACAAATTATGGAAATTGGTTATAGCACCACCCAAAAAGAGGCTGAAAAAAATGCTATGATTGCAGTAATAGGGACCTTGTTCTTATTACTAAAATAAAATTTAATTCATTTCCTTTACTATTTTGATAATGATATATTGCTAAAGATTGCAGTTCACCTGAGCAAACAAATTAATTCCTCTACAAGAATGAGGACAGGGGTACATGTCGGTCTCCAATATTGTGTTGATGAAAACTATGAGATACGGAATAGTTACAAAATAATTTATAGCCACTTCCTATAATGATATTAAATATCTTTGTGTAAAGTTATTGATAAAAAGCTTTATTTTTACTTATGTATTCTAAAAATTGTAATATGCGTACAACTGTAAGGGGTAATTTTTGTATTCCAAACGTGAATGGGGGTTTCTACATTTTAAAAGTATGTTGTGCCCAACAGTAAACAAAAAAAAGTAGCATAAGAAATACTACGTAACAAGCGTCTCAAAGAATTATTATAAAATTGAAAAGCAAAACATTTGTAAAATATTTGTTATACATGCTTCATCATTCTTTACACAAGATATACCAGATTTTACGTCCAAAAAATGTGCAGCACTGCTCCTCACGACAAAAACGTGTATAAAAAAAATGCATATGAAATATTTCTAAATTCAATAGTTTTTATTGGAAAATGCATTTAATTTTCTCATTTCAATCAAATTTTCTATATTTCCTCCCCTATTTTTTATTACCATACTCCAGCCCCACATTATTTCGCATGGCAGTGAACAATTTTGGGATTATCAAACAAATTCATCATTTTTTGCTATACATCAAATATAAGTCATGTATATTGCTAGAAGTACAGTGGTTCACAGTGATAAATTGCAAAAATAATACTTGTATATTCAGTTCTATCCAAAATAATGGAGGGAGCAAAATAATAAAACTACAAAACATAAGATGATGCTGGAAAGATGCACCTCTTGTCCATACATATACTAGTCTACAGTGTACGATATCTTCGACATGAAACGAATTACATTGGCCACGTTTGCGGCATTTCACGAATTTGTCTAACTCCAAACTTTTCACTATCCTGGGTGAAAAGGTAGTGTGAAGGTGGTTGCCTAGATTTACAATAATAATATTCCTATTTCAGTGAATCCCCTCTATATTGTTCATTGCAAAAATATTACCCACCTAAGGTATTATCTTTGACACAAGCATAAGCATAGAGATCCATCATTTAAAAAATTTTCATGTCACTTGTTATTTAAATAATGCAATAAAAAAATGATTTAAAATCTGCAAGATTTTTAATTAAAATTTAATCGTAATAATGTTCGATGTAAGAGAAGTGTCTAGAAGAAATTTCATTCACTTTATCACCTAAAAGCTGAAATATCTTGATAAAAATATAGTTATTTTGAGATGCAAAGTATATTTAGTGAATTTTTACTAGTTTTATTCCGTATATCTCTTATACAAGCTGGTAAATCAGTTTGAAACTTTTCACGTACGACCATTAGGCAATTACCAAGAACATACGCAAAATTCGGATCCGTATCTTGGAAGCGCCCTCATGAGGAAATGAATTCAATGCAAAAGTAAATTTGATTTAACAATTGTTTATATACGTTTTTTATACAAAACTTTTGATAAGGAACAGTGCTACATGTTTCCAGGCCCAAAATCTAGTACAGCCTCATACAGTCTTACCTCTATATTTGTGTTATCAATAGGAAGTCTATAATGAGAACTAATACATAAATAGTTGTAACGTTAGTTTTGATATAAAAGTTATAGTTTTTAATGTAAGTTTTGTAATATAAAAAGATCGCTTTTTTAAATATAAATTTTTATAGAAATATGGACTTGTTATAATCATTTTCTTTGGTTACCGGAAGGACTTTCCATAACTACACACATGAATTCTACACGCGAAGTAGTATTCTTTTCATTGAGAATAATATTGTGCAAATCAACATAACAACATAAAATATACCGATAGTTTAGAATCTATGATAAGGATTTTTAAATTACTTAAAACTTTTTTTGTTATAAAATTACATATTTCTATTATATTAAAGATGAAATGTATCACTTCATCGCAAAATATTAATTATGATTATGTAAAACTCATTATGGCAAGCAAAGTAGACGGCGTTATGTGTTAATGTTGCTAATGTGACTGTGTAAACGATTGCTTCAAAATAATATATAAAAATGTTTTGAAAACCAAAATTTAATACATTTTCTGACACGATCGCATGAAACATGTAAGTCAGATATAAGTATGCCATTGTAAAAAAAAGTGTGTATGTGTGTGTGTGGTAAGTGCGAGAAAGAGAGGCGGGGGTGAGAGAGAAAGTAATACAGTAGAGAGAGTGATATTTATTTTGATCCTAGAGCCGACCACATTGACATCGACCACATCACATTCACACGTCGACCACCAGCATGAGAAAAAATATTGTATTCTCGCAGTGGTAGCAGATGTGTACGCACAGAATTTCTGTATCCACGCGTTAGTCAGTTGTGCGCGACGCACAGAAGTTTTTCGCGCAGGTCATCTATATCCCCCAAAAAACACTTACGTGTAAAAAACTACGCCAAGTACAGGAGTGCTGTGTATTCCTCTAATAAAAAGTATTGATGTCAGATTATTGAGGCCAAGTACATAAGTCACTACATGTTTGCCTATTATATGATCTAGCACTGGCCCATCATTTTAATTGTATTTTCAAAATTTCCTATAACGTTTTCACTACTCTTTTACAATACTACTATTTCTCGTAGTTAATTATGATTTAATGGTTATTTAATAATTAATAAAACCTTAGCTGATTCCTTATCGAGTACTACTTGGCGGGTCCGTGCATTTCTTGATATAAATTTACGTTCACTATGCCAGTCATTAAACTCAATACCAATATCAACTTTCTATATAGAGCTTATTAACGATAACTCGTCAACAATAATCACGGTAAAAGCTTAATAACAAATGTATAGTTTTAGGATACGATTAGTACGATCAAAGTAAGTACTTTGGAATTCCTGGCACGGACCCGCTAAGTAGTACTCGATAAGGAATCAGCGAAGGTTTTATTAATTATTAAATAACCATTAAATCATAATCAACTACGAGAAACAGTAGTAATGTAAAATAGTAGTGAAAACGTTATAGGAAATTTTGAAAATACAATTAAAATGATGGGCCAGTGCTAGATCATATAATAGGCAAACACGTAGTGACTTATGTACTTAGCCTCAATAATCTCATATCAATACTTTTTATTAGAGGATTACACAGCACTCCTGTACTTGGCGTAGTTTTTTATACGTAAGTGTTTCTTGGGGGATATCACAAGTTTTTGTTGCTCAACGGGACATAGAAGCTCTAAGCACTGAAATCTATATTGTCACAGATATAAAATGTAAATGCATTATGATGTTGCTAATCAGAAAAATATATTGCGTTGTCGAAAATGTTTAATGGCATATAAATTTAATTTGTAAGTCCCTTTTTCTAGAAATGCAAAAGACATACAAATTTTTAAAGAAAATGTAATCTTCAATACATATAAGTGTCGTTAATGCTGTCCAGCTTGTTGAAGCCGTGTGGTCAACATAAAAGAGGAGAGTGTGCTGGATTATTTACGTACCTCAGGCCGTGCGAACATCAGAGAGGATACTATAGTTTGAGCGAAGCGCCAAAGCGGCGCTCGTTACACACTTTTCTGGACTTCTATGTCCGACATCTAGGTACAAGAAACTACGGAGCGGAACACGTGGACACCCTGAACTTCCACATCCGACACCTAGATATAGAAAGCTACGGAGCGCCATACCTGGACACCCTGGACTTCCACATCCAACACCTGGACACAGGAAACTACGGAGCGGAATACCTAGACACCCTGGACTTCCACATCCAGCACCTAGATACAAGAAACTACGGAGCGGAACACCTGGACACCCTGGACTTCCACATACAGTACCTAGATACAAGAAACTACAGAGCGGAACACCTGGACAGCTTGAACTTTCACATCCGACACCTAGATACAGAAAACTACGAAGCGGAATACCTGGATACCCTGGACTTCCACATCCAGTACCTAGATACAAGAAACTACGGAGCGGAACCCCTGGAGACCCTGGACTTTTACATGTGACACCTAGATACAGGAAACTACGGAACGGAACACCTGGACACCCTGGACTTCCACATCCAGTACCTAGATACAAGAAACTACGGAGCGGAACACCTGAACAGCCTGAACTTCCACGTCTGACACCTAGATGCAGGAAACTACGGAGCGGAACACCTGGACACCCTGGACTTCCACATACAGTACCTAGATACAAGAAACTACAGAGCGGAACACCTGGACAGCTTGAACTTTCACATCCGACACCTAGATACAGAAAACTACGAAGCGGAATACCTGGATACCCTGGACTTCCACATCCAGTACCTAGATACAAGAAACTACGGAGCGGAACACCTGAACAGCCTGAACTTCCACGTCTGATACCTAGATGCAGGAAACTACGGAGCGGAACACCTGGACACCCTGGACTTCCACATCCAGTACCTAGATACAAGAAACTACGGAGCGGAACACCTGAACAGCCTGAACTTCCACGTCTGATACCTAGATGCAGGAAACTACGGAGCGGAACACCTGGACAAACTGTCACCTAAAATACTTGGGACTATGCCGAAGCACACGTATACATACATCCATATACGCGCGCTCCACATGAATGTAATTAAAAACTTAATAATTCTATACTGTTGTCAAAGCACCCTTATACTAACTGGAAATTCGGTATGAATGGTAGCTTCACGTATAAAGTGTATTTGATTGTGTTGTGTATTCGTAAATTACCAACACTATACAGAGTACAAATAGGTAAAGAAGGCGAAGCAGTCAGCGCCATCTGCCGTGTAAAAAATGCGATGGACGTGCGAAGACGACGACGATGACGACGACGACGACGACGACGACGGACCTGAAATAAAATCATCCCTCTCGCCATGTGAATACGTCCTGAGTGCGCCCATGCGTCGAAACTAATGCGAAATAAATGTTATATCGAAGTATGCCTACCTTGTATGTACATACTGTGACGGTCGAAGATCCAGCAGCTAACTCTAATGTCCAGTTAATCTTGATCAATTACAAAAATTATTTAACTTGGTAGCGTCACTCACCGAAAATAGGTTATCTGGCCTCTGACCCGGCCTCCGATCTGTCGTCGGAACCGTCAATGGACTCGTCCTTGGTCCAGCTGCGGCTGGTCTTTGGCACCTTGATGGCTGTTAAGAGAGCATAACGGTTCTCGTTCTTAGTTGAGTTCTCCCAGTGGATATGCTTCGAGTAAAGAGTCTCGGCGGGCCGTGCCCCGTACGGCGGGTTGCCTTTACTTGGCGCGAGACTTGACCAAGTCTCTTGATTTGCCCGCAGACAGTCAACGCGAAGACGCCGAAAATCCGCGCGATTAAGGGGGAATGGTACCGACGATTCTATGTGCGCATGGCAACTAATTCCCCAAAATACCGAATACTTCTTCTTCATGCAGCCAGGTCTCCGTGCTATGGGTCCACCCAGGGTATTCGAAGGATATAGGAGTCGGAAGAAATGTCGGAACTTATCTACAGGTATCTAGAAATACTTAACGGTTAGGCTTAGCAAGACACACTACTTTCTAGGTCACTAAAACTACTTAACTGTTAGGCTTAACAAAACACACTATTTTACAGATCTCTTAGGGAACTTAGGTTCTACAGGAATTACGCTATCGCACGCAGACAGTCAACGCGAAGACGCCGAAAATCCGCGCGATTAAGGGGGAATGGTACCGACGATTCTATGTGCGCGAGAGCTCGAAGCGAGGAAACTTCGCACCCAAAAATCTCTGTACAGAAAGCACTATCAATAAATTGATGACACAAACCTGAAACCTTCCGATAAAGTAACTTTCCTTGCGGAGCCGGATTTTTGAATTATTGCTTAGGAGACTACCCGTTCTACTTTAAATGGACCTGCGTATTTCGGAGCTAATTTGGCCGCAATATTATTTTGTCCCGATGATAGTATACGATTGCGCTTCCAGACCTGATCCCCTACCGCGTACTCTATGTCCCAATGAAGCTTGTCATAATATCTTGCCTGACGATCGAAAGCCTGATCTACATTCCTCTTTACCAAGTCTCGGAGTTCATCTAATTGTCTCATCCGATCTTCCCATTTCTCTGTATTTGGCGTGGCTATTTCGGCGGGCCCTTCTGTTCCTCGCCGTAACGAATGTCTAGCCTTTGGTTCTCGACCTAGGTTAAGGAACGCTGGAGACACTTGAGTGGAACTGTGGCATGCCGAATTAAACGCAAATCTAAAATCGTTCAAATGTACGTCCCATTCCCGATGATCGTTCTCGATGTAGGCTATTATCATTGTTTTCAATACTCGGTTGACTCTCTCCACCGGATTAGATTGCGCATGATAAGGTGGAATATGCGAATGTACTATACCGTACGCGTTTGTGAATTCTTTAACGGCCCTATTTGCAAATTCGGTACCATTATCTGTCAGGAGAACCTCCGGAGTACCCCATCTAGAAAGAATCACGTCCTCAAACGCCGCCAAGATATTCTTAGCATTGGATTTCCTCAATGCTACGCACTCGATCCATCTGGTGAAAAGGTCCTGAAAAACTAAGATATACTCGAAGCCTGCCTTACTTCGGGGGAACGGACCCATCACGTCAGCCGCCACCACAGCCCATGGCTGATCTACTACTCTTCTTCCCATTAAACCTGTCGGTAAGGCTTGTTCTACCTTGCAAGATTGACATACTTGACATTCGCGTACCATCTTTGCCAAATCTCTATACATCCCTGGCCAGTAATACAATACTGCCGCTCTGGAATATGTCTTCTCGATTCCTAAGTGTCCCGCTTGTGGTTCCGCATGAAGACACTTGCGTGGAACTGTGGCATGCCGAATTAAACGCAAATCTGAAATCGTTCAAATGTACGTCCCATTCTCGATGATCGTTCTCGATGTAGGCTATTATCATTGTTTTCAATACTCGGTTGACTCTCTCCACCGGATTAGATTGCGCATGATAAGGTGGAATATGCGAATGTACTATACCGTACGCGTTTGTGAATTCTTTAACGGCCCTATTTGCAAATTCGGTACCATTATCTGTCAGGA